TGTGAAAGTTCTGCAAATCGGCAGAGGATTAGGGATTCAAACTTAAAATTGCATTAGAAAAACCTACCTAAACAAACTCCACGCAGCTGAGAGACCAGCAGCTTTTAGAGCCTCCCAGCTGGTCGTTAGAACAACTTTGCAACTTACGGGCTTGAGTTTCCTTCTTTCCTCTTCCCTCCCAATCGGTTTTCCTCGGGTGTTGCGACTTTTTTAGACTGTAAGCCTATGGGGAGGGGCTGTTGCGTTTTAAAAATGATTTATAAGCTGCTGTAGGAGCCCGATTAATCAGGCAGCATGCATTAACTACAGAGAGAGAGAGAGTTCAGACATTTCTATGTCATCGGTGGTAGTGGATTACAGCTGCATTCCTGACCCTTGACCCTTTGGGCTGCTGGGAGTTGAAGTCCAGCAACATCGGGAGCTTTCTGCCAATTCCTCACCCCTCCTTTGACAGCTGTGGCCCCACATCATGGGAGTTGAAGTTTGATGTTGCATCTTTGCTTTGAGATCTGTCTGTCTCTCTCCCACCTTCCCCAAGATTACAGGTCCCACTTTCTCTGGGGGTGGGGGTGCTAGTTTTAAACCCCTGGTGCAACTTAAAAGCTAAAGGGCCCCCTGACCATTAGGTCCAGTCGTGGCCAACTCTGGGGTTGCGGCGCTCAGCTCGCTTTATTGGCCGAGGGAGCCGGCGTACAGCTTCCGGGTCATGTGGCCAGCATGACTAAGCCGCTTCTGGTGAACCAGAGCAGCACACGGAAATGCCTTTTACCTTCCCGCTGGAGCGGTACCTATTTATCTACTTGCACTGGTGTGCTTTCGAACTGCAAGCTTGGCAGGAGCAGGAACTGAGCAACGGGAGCTCACCCCGTCGCGGGGATTCGAACCGCCGACCTTCTGATCAGCAAGTCCTAGGCTCTGTGGTTCAACCCACAGCGCTACCTGTGTCCCTGGTGCAACTTACCTGGGCCATTTTGGGGCATGTTTGCAGCTAGCTTCTCCTTTTCTGGAGACTCCAGGGCTGTTCATTTCTAACAATCCTCCTTCTCCACAGCTTCAAAACTCCAAGACCGTGATTCAGTCCAAAGACACAATCATCCAGGAACTCAAAGAACGTGTGGCCTACCTGGAGGCAGAGGTAGGCAGCCATTTTTATTAAAGTTCCTCATCCCATTGCCTGCAAGATATTGACATTAAAAGGCCGAGGTTTTCTCATGAGTTGTTTTTCTATGCATTGAGTGGGGCTAACATTGGCTGCAAATCCATATAGTCCCTTTTTAGAGCCATCCAGCGCAGTCCCCTGTCAGCTCACCTTGTGATCATATTTCTCCCTATGACGGTTTGTGCATATGGCTGCAGATTATTACAGTTTTATCCAACGTTAGTCCTACTCGGACTCATTGAAATCAACATGCCTAGCTTAGGTCTGCTAATTTTGGCGGAGGTCTACGCTGAGTAGGGCACCAGTCCTGAAGCCCACATTTTGGATGCGCTCCTTACGTACGAAATGCTCTTTTAAAAACGTAAAATGCACCGCTAATAATTCTCAGTGCATTCACCTGCAAAAACCAGGCATGGCGTACACAGCCTTAAAAAAAACCTGGTTTTTGCATGTGCTTTAAGGCCGCGTACACAGCCTTAAAAACACCTATTTTTGCACATGCTTTCCCATTGTGAAATCTGGAGAAAATGTGTAATCCAATTTCGGGGTGGGGTGGGGTGTTTGCATTTCGATTTTGCAAGTTGGTGGTGAAAGACCAAGCGCATTCCTTGCCCCAGAAGAGCCCTTGGCTCGGCTGCCCCCTGGTGGGGCGTTTGTGGTGCTACGGGAATGCCGGCCGGGTCCAGAGCGGACTCTTGCAACCTGACTCCAGGTGTGTTGAAAGGACACACACAGGCACGAAACTGACTTGCAGGTGGGACTGCTGTCCCTCCCCGCCAAAATGAGCATCAAAGCAGAGGAAACAGCGCCATCAAAGAGACATTTAATGCAGATTTTGCCAGTTTCTGCCAAATGCATAGTTTTTCTCTTGGCACGTCCCAACCATGATGCTTTGCTCCCGTTACTGAAATGTTGTTCTTCCAGTGGTTCAGGCCAGTTCTGTCTGCCTCCCTTTCCCCTGAGCGAAATGTTGCCGGTTTAATTAACATGCCCTTTTTTTTAATATGGTTGTAGAGCTGGAAGCCCCCTACCCCCAGTTCGTTTAGACCAGCCCCCTGGAAATCAGTGAAATCATCCCTTTCACTCTCGTGTTTTCTCCCTGCAGAACCTTGAGATGCACGACCGCATGGAGCACCTCATTGAAAAGCAGGCCCAGAGCGCCGGGGTCCACAATGCAAGGCCCCGCTCCAAATCAGAGTACGTCAGCAGGTGAGCGGCAGGGTGGAGGGGCTGCCACCTGCCCTTTAGGGGCAGTGGCAGCCGACCTGGGGTGGAATAATAATAATAATAATAGTAATAAATAATAAATTTATTTGTATCCCGCCCTCCCTGGCCAGAGCCAGGCTCTGAGCATCCAACATCATATAAATAAGACAATATGCATAATACAGCACAGTAATACCTTGGGTTAAGAACTTAATTCGTTCCGGAGGTCCGTTCTTATCCTAAAACTGTTCTTAACCTGAAGCACCACTTTAGCTAATGGGGCCTCCCGCTGCCGCCGGAGCACGATTTCTGTTCTTATCCTGAAGCAAAGTTCTTAACCCGAGGCACTATTTCTGGGTTAGCAGAGTCTGTAACCTGAAGCTATGTAACCCGAGGTACCACTGTATAAAATATGCAAATAAAATAACACTCAACATTCATTAGAATAATATAGAATAATAATAAATAGCAGCATTTCAAGATTAAACAGAAATCCACTCTTAACAGTTACAATAAGTAATTTCCCAACTCCAGTCAATAAAACAACATCAAGCCCCAGTGCACAACATAATGCAGTACAAAATGAGAAGCAGCGACTGGAGGGTGGGGCAAGGCAGGTGGAAAGAGGCCTTGCCTGGTGGGGTCTCACTCCTCAACTACACTCCCTGAGCCGTGAGCCCCTTTGGTGCACCCCTCTTCTCTTCCCCCTCCCGAAAGCGACTTGCACATTCCTAAAATGCGAATAGCTTAACACGCCTTCAGAGCGATGGGCCAGAATACCTAGGAAGTGCTCATCCGCACATTAAATTCACTGCAAAAAGGGACAAGTCCTACCCACTCACTGCAGAACAGGCCAGGAATAATAATAATTATTATTATTATTATTAATTATTATTTATACAGAGCCCATCTGGCTGAGTTTCCCCAGCCGCTCTGGGCGGTTCCCAGTCGAGTGTTTAAAACAATACAGCATTAAATATTAAAAATTTCCCTAAACAGGGCTGTCTTCAGATGTCTTTTAAAGATAGGATAGCTGCTTATTTCCTTCACATCTGGTGGGAGGGCGTTCCACAGGACAGGCGCCACCACTGAGAAGGCCCTCTGCCTGGTTCCCTGTAACTTAGCTTCTCGCAGTGAGGGAACCGCCAGAAGGCCCTCGGAGCTGGACATCAGTGTCTGGGCAGAACGATGGGGGTGGCTCCTTCAGGTATACTGGGCCAAGGCTGTTTAGGGCTTTCAAGGTCAGCACCAACACTTCGAATTTTGCTCGGAAACGTACTGGGAACCAGTGCAGATCTCTCAGGACCGGTGTTATATGGTTTCTTCAGCCGCTCCCAGTCCCCAGTCTAGCTGCCGCATTCTGGACTAGTTGCAGTTTCTGAGTCACCTTCAAAGGTAGCCCCACGTAGAGCGTATTACAGTAGTCCAAGCGAGAGATAACTAGAGCATGCACCACTGTGGCGAGACTGTTCCTGGGCAGGTAGGGTCTCATCCTGCATACCAGATGGAGCTGGTAGACAGCTGCCCTGGACACAGAGTTAACCTGCGCCTCCATGGACAGCGGTGAGTCCAAAATGACTCCCAGGCTGCGTAGCTGGTCCTTCAGGGGCAGAGTTACCCCATTCAGGACCAGGGAATCCCCCACACCCACCCGCTCCCTGTCCCCGAAAAACAGTACTTCTATCTCAACACCTTTATCGCCACGTTTCCTAATGTCAGCTTATTCTCTAATATCTCTCTCCCTCCCCTCTGTCTTCTCTCTCTCTCTCCTGCAGCAAACGGCTTACCAAGTCTCCAGGCCCCAAACCTTTGCCTCTCATCCGAGTGCTGGAAACATGAACTCAAACCCCTCTCCTCCGCTCCCCGAAAAAGGAACCCTCTGCAAACTCGCTGGGCCCTTATTCCATCGCCAGCTGCTTCGCCCTTGCTGCCCGCTCCCCAGAGGCAACCAGCTCCCTTGTCGCGTGCGGTGGGACTGTCTGCGTAGCCCCATCTGCCCAGCAGCACCGCCTGTTTGAAGCCGCAAAAAAGTAAAAAAGGAGGATTTTCTGAAAAGGGTTTGATCGGGACGGGACGCGAGGACGTTTGAAGGCCAAAAGGACGCTTTCGCCCCACCCAAAGGCCGCAAGAAGGAACCTTTGCAGTCCTTGCAATTGATCTGTAAGGCTGGTCCCTTTTTGGAAAGAAAGTGCCTTTTTAGTAATTATATATGTATAATTATATATGTCATGTATATATATATATATCGCTATTAGCTCCGTCCAGCGCTAGGAAGTTCAGTTTTTATCCCCGTTCAAGCCAGTACGCCCATCAAGGGTTGTTTTCAGATTATTAATAACAGTGTAAAGGCGTATTGGGTTTGACAAAGTTGAGGAGGAAAGATGTGTTCTGGTTTCTTCCCTCTTCTCGCCTCCGAAAGAATTATGTCTCAGCGACTGCCCATCCACCTCTCAGGCAGCGAGTGAACTTCTCCCGTCAAACTCAGCCTAGCCGCCTAGAGAACAGAGATTACCCCGTGTCTGCATTTAACCCTGTCGGTTGGCCGCACCGCACCGTGGCGGAATGTAGAGGATCGACTCGTATCATGTAATCTAGCATTGTGTGAATGTAGAAATAAATACTGAGTTGAGTGTTTAAAAAAAGAGGAGGTGTTTTGTATGCATTAAGCAGGGGTCAGCAAACTTTTTCAGCAGGGGCTGTCTCTCAGACCTTGTGGGGGGCTGGTCTATGTTTTTTTTGGGGGGGGGGGATGAAGGAATTTCTATGCCCCACAAATAACCCAGAGATGCATTTTAAGTAAAAGGGCACATTCTACTCATGTAAAAACACGCTGATTCCTGGACCGTCCGCAGGCTGAATTTAGAAGGCGATTGGGCTGGATCTGGCCCTCCGGACCTTAGTTTGCCTAGGTAAAGGGACCCCTGACTGTTCAGTTGCGGAGGACTCGGGGGTTGTGGTGCTCATCTCACTTTAGTAGCTGAGGGAGCCAGTGTTTGTCCGCAGACATGTGGCCAGCATGACAGAGCCGCTTCTGGCGAACCAGAGCAACACACGGAAATGCCATTTACCTTCCCGCTGGAGTGGTACCTATTTATCTACTTGCACAGCTAGGTTTCGAACTGCTAGGTTGGCAGGCGCAGGGCCCGAGCAACGGGAGCTCACCCCGTCGCGGGGATTCGAACCGCCAGTCTTCTGATCGGCAAGCCCAAGAGGCTCAGTGGTTTAGACCACAGTGCCACCCACGTCCTTTTAGTTTGCCTATACATGCATTAAAGCAAGGGTGGTTTGCTTTGAGTCTGCTTCTAAAAAAGATCTTTGCAGCCTGCTATCGGTTGATAAACTTTGCAGCTCAAAGGGGCTTGACCCCCATCCCTTGGAGAGAGCTCCTTGTTGTGTGCACACCTGCTTTTGAGAACGTTAGGAGTCACCTTTTGGCTGGGTCAGAACAAAGGCTACTGCATCTGGATTCATTTTGCAAAACTTGGGGTCTGCCTGCCTGCCGGAAACTTTTGGCTGCCCAGATGCTATGGCACCCATCACCCCTGGCTTATTGCCCATGCTTGTTGGGCTGGTGGGAGTTATAGTTCAGCGACACCTGATGGGCCAAAGGTCCCCCATGCCTGGAACCTACTCTCAGCCCTGCCTGGCTCAGCTACAACTTCCTTCAAACCAGAGCGTGGACGATGGCAGCTCTCCAGAAAAACAACAACTGCAGGTTGGGGAAGGCAGGGTCCTAGGCCATGGTGGGGAATGTATTCTGCCTGAGGTCCGCATTCCCTTCTGGGCAACCCCTTGAGGTCCACTTACCGGGGTGGGCAAAAGGGAGTGGATCAACGCATGCAAATTTTACCTTTTTCTACAGTAGGCTAATTTCTAAACACACAGCCCTCTCTCTGTCTGCCTGTCAGCAAGAAGCATCATCAGAGTTCAAGGATGCATTTCAGCCATGCAGAAATAATAATAATAATAATAATAATAATAATAAAAAAATAAAACTTATGATTGGTACCCTGCCCATCTGGCTGGGTTTCTCCAGCCACTCCGGGCGGCTTCCAACAAAGACCAAAAATACACTAAAATGTCACACATTAAAAACTTCCCTTCAGATGTCTTCTAAAAGTCTGGTAGTTGTTCATCTCTTTGACATCTGATGTTCCACAGGGCGGGCGCCACCACCAAGAAGGCCCTCTGCCTGGTTCCCTCTAACTTCGCTTCTTGCAGTAAGGGAACCGCCAGAAGGCCCTCAGAGCTGGACCTCAGTGCAAACAGCTTTTTATGGAAAGGTAAAAGTTTGCATTATTCTTGCTTGGGAAATCGTGAAAAAGGGAATTACTCCCAGACAACATGGCCGTTTTGACTAAAAGTCTCATGTTCTACCAACTGAGCTATGGATTGGTGTCATAGGGTTTTTCAGGTGGGGTGGAATTGCATTCCCCCAAGGAAATAAAGGGGGACGCAGGTGGCGCTGTGGGTTAAACCACAGAGCCTAGGACTTGCCAATCAGAAGGTAGGCAGTTCGAATCCCCATGACGGGGTGAGCTCCCGTTGCTCGGTCCCTGCTCCTGCCAACCTAGCAGTTCGAAAACACGTCAAGTGCAAGTAGATAAATAGGTACCGCTCCAGTGGGAAGGTAAATGGCGTTTCCGTGCGCTGCTCTGGTTTGCCAGAAGCGGCTTAGTCCTGCTGGCCACACGACCCGGAAGCTGTACGCCGGCTCCCTCGGCCAGGAAAGCGAGATGAGCGCCGCAACCCCAGAGTCGGTCGCGACTGGATCTAATGGTCAGGGGTCCCTTTACCTTTAAGGAAATAAAACATTCCGAAAAAGCATCGGCGAATGACTACATTAAGGGTTTTTGGTTGTTTCCCCCCTCTTCTACCATTAATGGACTTTGTCCCTTTTTCTTTTGTCAAAACAATCTGTATTGTGATTCATCCTTTATACCCATCTCAGATTGGGAGGAGGGTTTTTAAATTTTTCTATATCTATCTGAAACCTGATAAAAACAACTAAAAACTGGCACCAGAGAACAAGTCAACCTTTTCTGGTAAGACTGAGCAGTAGGCCTGGTCTTGAGAAACTTGCGGGAGGATGAATCGCCTACCTTTTGACAGGATGATAGATGTGTTGCAATTTAGATCCTGCATCTCAAGATACAAACCTTACCAGGGTGTGGCTTACAAGCAATATCATTCAATGGACAGACTTCAAAAATATATGCTGCTAACCTATTTAAAAGGCACTGGGATCCTTTCCACAGGGCAGCTGGCGATGCTCATTTTGACTACGTACCTCTTCGTCTCTTAAGCTGGGAAAAACAATGCAATGCAGATAAAAGTAAGTGGAACCCATAAAATCGGGATTCAATTTAACTGCTGGAATTAAAGGAGACTTCACTTGGTGTTGGAAGTTCAACAGGGAGAGTGGGCCTGTCTGACCTCAACTGGAAGGAAGATAGGCAGGCATTGCCCTCACGTCCCACTATTTGTTGTTGTTTAGTTGTGTCCGCCTCTTCGTGACCCCCTGGACCAGAGCACGCCAGGCCCTCCTGTCTTCCACTGCCTCCCCCAGTTTGGTCAAACTCATGCTGGTAGCTTCAAGAACACTGTCCCACCATCTCGTCCTCTGTCGTCCCCTTCTCCTTGTGCCCTCCATCTTTCCCAACATCAGGGTCTTTTCCAGGGAGTCTTCTCTTCTCATGAGGTGGCCAAAGTCTTGGAGCCTCAGCTTCAGGATCTGTCCTTCCAGTGAGCACTCCGGGCTGATTTCCTTCAGAATGGAGAGGTCTGATCTTCTTGCAGTCCATGGGACTCTCCAGAGTCTCCTCCAGCACCAGAATTCAAAAGCATCAATTCTTCGGCGATCAGCCTTCTTTATGGTCCAGCTCTCACTTCCATACATCACTAACTTAGCGGTACCTAATTTATTTAGAGTGTTTTATCTCCCTTTTCAGACAAAAGGGCTCTCAGAGTGGCTTACATACATTCAATTAAAACAAGGCAAGCAGGCTTATAAGAAAGAAAAGAAAGAAAGAAAGAAAGAAAGAAAGAAAGAAAGAAAGAAAGAAAGAAAGAAAGAAAACCACGACACACAAGGAAAAAGGCACAGGGAGGGAGGAGGAAAACAAACAAACTCGGGCCCCAATTCTTAAACAGTGTGTGTGTGTGTGTGTGTGTGTCTATATATATATATATATATATATATATATATGACCAAATGCTGGCACAGTGTGGGGGTAGGAGGCACCTGTTGGAGCGAGTTTTCTGCCTCCCATCTCTCCCACTGAGGCAGTCGGAGGGAATGGCTGCCCTGGGTGACAGCTATGAGTGAGGAGGCCTGAGGGAAGTGATCTCACAGCAGAGCTGATGGGTTAGCCTGTGTTTGGTGCAAAAAACCCGAAACCCACAGCCCACTCTGAGATTGCACCCATGGCCAAGGGGCGGGGGAAACGCTAGCAGTCGACAACATCCCCATCGCATGCAGAAACCACCCCAGGTTTCCAATTCTGTTTCTTTAGTCCACCTCATAATACGAAGCTCTTGTAACTCTGAAACCGGAGGAAAGCCTGCTTTGTGAAGGCTTCTTGTGTCAGGAATCTGAGGCAGGAATACCTGGAAACTGTAATAAACAAAAATCTGCCCTTATTCCCTTATGGGGGACACAAGAGCCCTTATAGAGTCCTTTGTAGGTTCTCCATCAGTCAGAGAAAATAACAGAGGCCAACCAGAGAATATGGAGGAGCAAAGCAGCTCGTAAGCCTGATCTTTATTGATCTATTGCAGGAGGGTTCTCCCCTCACACGCAGGAGGGAGGAGGACCCAGAACAAAGGTGTGCCCACCCTTATATAGACATTTTAAATTGCCCGCCCTGGAGTCCAAGACCACCCCAGAAACATCATACCTACATCACAGAAAGGGCGGTCTATAGCAGAAATCTGAGTGCGTTGTTTATCTCGTGTCTGGCAGGTTACCTGTTAATGGTGACTTGATTGGATTACCTGGGGAGCCTGGCCAGTCTTTTGTAATGATAAATACTTAGTTCCTGAGCCAGGTCACAGGCTCACCCTATTCAAACACAGACATATCCTTAAGAAAGGATCTGTGAACAAAAAGACAATGGGGAGGCTTTTCCATTTTCCTTCGACTTTGCAGAGAAATATTTGAGGTCAATTTGGGAGGGACAAAATGGCTTCAGGACTTTTTCTGCGGGGTTTCAGACATGTGGTTTATATTTGCAGTTATGAACATTTATTATATTTATAACACCTCAATTTTTAAATTTCAAAACAAACCCCGCTGTGTTCCAATTCAGTAAAGATGGGACCAAATGAAGACTGTTAATTTGATCCTGCAAGGGTCCCTCTCCTGTATGGTAGAGCAATGCCCAGCTAGCTGCACCCAGGGGTGTGTGTCCCTGCATGCGGAAAATGCAAACGCTTTTACCTGCCCAGGTGCGCGACTCTTGCAGGCAGGCCTTCCAGGCAAACATTTGCTGTTGCAGAGGTTTGGTTGAGTGCAAAACAACAACACGCACAACCCTGCTCTGTTTCCCCTTAAGCCGACGCAGCTGTGAGCATTTGCAAACATTGACTCGATTTGCTTCCCATTAGCCCATATGTGTTGACAATCAAATGCGC